AAATATATCACATACTGAGAGTTTCGTAGAGCTTGGTGGTGGCACAGTAGGGGATGATGAAAAATCGAAATCCTTTGAGAATTCATCTGCAAGTTCAGCATCAGTCAAGGACTGTAAGATACAATATGGCAATTTTATATGTAAAATTTTTTTTATCAGGGACCATTTTACAGAGATTTCATTTATTTCTGCTACATCCTGGTGAACATGTAGGACAAATAGCGTACAATAACACAATCACATAATAGAGATGTATTGATGAGTAGTGCCACATGATGCCACATGATGGGCACTTATCAGCACCCTGTACCTTGGTGACAGTTTTGGTATTTGGACAGAACTATATAAGAATGCCATGTTTAGATTAAGGAGATACTCCCTTAGAACAATGAAAGTAGTGTTGTTGGAGACATGGTTAATGTTGGTCTGGGCAATTATCCATCCTTTTATAGCAGTACACATAGAAAGGATTTAAGAGATTTGTTATTTTTATTTTTAATACAAAATGTGTTTCCAGTAGTGGCTGGGTTAGGTAGGTACAGGTAGGTACAGCTGATATTGCAGAAGATATACAGAGACACGGGATATAGTGTTTGCTTTGTGAATGTTTTGCAGAGCTGAGATCCTACTGCAACCTTGCATATGTATTGCAGACGTAACAGTACTATTACAGTAAATTAGGGAGTTGAATACACATATCAGATTTACGCACAGTTGAGTTAAAGGGAACCTATAGTCCTGAGAAGAGAGAAGCATTGGGGACGAGTAGCGAATGGCCCACAAGTTCCAAGTTCAGTCAAATACATCACATGGGGAATCATGGGTTCAATGCTTTCATAAAATCAGCTTTTAATGCTGAATGCCACATAGCCAAGTCAAACTGTCAATGCAGCAGAAGTGCCCTCTAGTGGCTGTCAGGAAGAGGTCAATTTAGCCCTGCAATGAAAACATTGCCATCTCTCAAAAAAACAGGGCCACTGCACCGAAACCACTGGGTGCATATAGTGGTCATTTACTGAACCTTGGCCCCCCAGCTACTGCTGGACTGCAACTCCCATAGCTCTGTGCCTGTCTGAGGTTGGAGTGCAAATACTGTGGAGTATGAAAATTATAGCGGGATTTTAAGTGCAGGGCTGATTTCTGTGTGCTTATATTTGCTTTGTATTACGCTATCATCCTACAGTGTTGCCTCCACACTGTGTATTCTATTAAAGGAACACTATAGTGTTAGGAATATAAAACTGGATTCCTGTAACACTACAGTGTCCCTCTGCCTACAAGGTCCTTCCCCGACAATGAGAGTGTTAAATAGCTTTAGAACACCTAATTCCTTCAACGTCAGTGCGATCCAGCAGCCTAATGCACATGGGTGGCAAGGGCTGCACATGCATTAGCCCTTAAGCATAGGAAATAATTGGCTCAATAATTTTATATGGGGTTTTGCAAGACGCTGGACATCTTCATGCAAAGCCTGAGGACATCCAGAGTCATTTCACCTTGTTACACTCAATGAAACAGCAGGAAGCACCTTGTGTCTTAGACAGCCACTAGAGGCAGTCTTAAGGTTTCTCTAAAGCTGTACAGTTAAGAGGGGCAGTGCACCCATACTACTCCAATTAGACGAAGTTGTCCGAGTGCCTATAGTGTCCCTTTAAAAGTTAATGATGGTTTAGGGGTTTATAAAAACAGAGATTTAGCAAGGTAAATTGCTAACGTAGGACTCACCTAAGAGACTTGCCTTGATGGGGGAGGTGCGCCTTAATACCAGATATTGGGCGTAAAGGCTATTGCAGTGGTACTTAAACCTCTGTTATTTAAATATGCTCAGGGATTTTGGACAGTGTGCAGGTAAGACTGCATTGTCACCTGACAGAACAGTTCGCTAGACAAGAGATGTTTGCTGGTTCAAAGAATTTGGTTCTGGAGAATATGTACAAATGAACTTGATAAGTGGCTAGAAATCACAAAGAAAATTCAAGAACATATATTAATAAAAAACAGCCGAATCGGAAATTATTTGAAAATAGTGATGTGATAAGTATCAAGGCAGCATCAATATCACAAACAGCAATAGATCATCTGGGGCTTTACTGCACCTTGGGCTCGTCAGATGGTACTGCAGGTGGAACTTCTTTACCATGGTCTTTTCCCTAAAAGATTAATTGCATGTTTCAGCAAAACATTTTATACATTGAATGCTCTATAGAGGAGATTTTATTTAATTGTGCTACACATCATGTTTATGGATTGGATGACTTCTGGTTCAAATATTTGTATGGTTTTAAGATCATACCATTCCCATGCTGCAAGTGGAAAATTAAAAGCCCCAGTAAGGAGACTCCAGCCTAGGTTTATGTCCCACATGGTTAATTATCTGGGCCATGCTCTCTTTTCAGCAGGTATGGGTCAGTGAAGCGACTACTAAGCACATCCTTGAAAGAATACTAAAGTTACAGGAAATGGGAGACCATTTCGCATGGATAAACCCGTCCTGGACAGATGTCCAAGCCATTGAGCATGAGGGGAGGTGGGGTGAGAAGCTGCTATTATCACTTTTTTACTCTCTGAAATATAAAATGATTAAATGTCAATCTTGAAGAAAGGGACAGGATTCCACTCTCTTTTCACTGGAAAATGTTTCATATTAAAAATCGGCACAGGGAAGATCTGGAGCCACGGATCCCAAATGCCAAAAACAGCCAACAGCCATAAACGAGTAAAACTAACAGGAACAATAATTCCATAGGACTGCGAGAGTGTTTTATAAGTAAATTCGAAAGCCAGTAGCAAGGTAAAATAAATTAGAATCTAAACAAAATAGCGAGAGTGCTTATAACCCTGACTGAAGCTGTGACTAGAACATGCTCCTACATTAGGACGCATGATTGCAGGGCAAAGGGGTGACCTAAAAAAGTGGGCAATGCCATGATGTGGGATGAGGACATGTCCACCCATATAGAGGGGTGTCAGCCTCTCCGCTGCAGCACTTTGAGGATGAGCTCAATGCCCTGCCTTGCTGCTCTTGGTGAGAACAATTTCCCGATATCCCCAGATGTTGGACGGATAGGAGCCCTAAAACAGGACTGTCCTGCAAGGTCCGGGACTTAAGTGAAAATGGAAGCAAGGGTTAAATATTGAAAGGTGTACTAATGATCTATATATTTTTGCAAAACATAGAATTACGTAAAGAAATAGGTTTTGATTTTAAAGAAAGATAATCACCCTCAACATTTCTTCTGTGACTGAAGCATTTTAAGACTGTAATGTATCTACAAATAAAACAGCATTTGTGATCATCGTCCCCCCCAAACTATTGTGTGTCAGTTTCCATTATTCCTGCAAATACACCCAACACTATTACAATATTACAAAATAAACACACGGAAGTGTACACTTACATCCAACAGGTGCCTGTATTTTGGAGGGATAGTGCTCTCCTTTTTCCCAAGTTCTTCTAAGTATGACGACGTAATAGCAGTTTCCTGTGAAATATAATAAAATGTAAATTGGTTTAATCATCCCTGGTGGTGCTTGTATTTATAATTGCACATGTTACATACTATGTCATAATGTGAAACATTTCATGACTAGAGAAAGGACATCGCTCAAAGACTTTGTATCTTAGCTTGGCCAACTAACATACTTTGTTATAAAATGCAGTTTGTAGAACTATTCAATATGTATACATTCTAATTACAGTATTATTACAGGACGTTTACATAGCCAAGAACAGTTTAGGTAAAAAAAAACAAAACAATGGTACCGTTATTATCGGGCCAGTAAATTGTGGGGATTCTGGCACATTGACAGGCGGCCCTTCCAGGGTACCCAGTAATTCGTCTAATGCATCTTGAGGCACTGTCTGAAAGAAAAAAAACCATTAAGTAACGCTTCATTATTACTGTAACAATGTCTGCTAATCTACCAACCAGACCACACACACAGGAAATGGAAACTAAAAAGCAGGGGCGGACTGACCACTCGGGCACTTCGGTCATGGACCGAGGGCCCGAGGCAGTCAGGGGCCCGGCAGCACAGCCATGCTCCAGCTGGAGAGATCAGAGATCTCTCCAACTGGAACGGCAAAAAATAATAAAATAAAACTTTTTAATTGATAGGTTGTGGGGCCCCTAATGCAGCGCGGGGCCCCACAACCTACCGCTCTGCACATCCCCCCCCCCCATGAGACCTGGCAGCTTCATCTCCTCCCTGCCAGGTCTCCGGCTTCCTCTCCCATGCGGCTCTGTGTGATGGGAGAGGCGGGGCCAGGAAGTGACATCACTTCCTGTTTACTCCTCTCACACAGAGCCCAGCATGGAGAAGGAGCAGGGGAGAGAAGAGGGAGCAGAGATGCAGGTAGGCACCAATCACCCCACACTGTCACTAGTCACCCACCCCCCACTGTCACTAGTCACCCCACTGTCACTTCACCCCCCCACTGTCACTAGTCACCCCACTGTCACTAGTCACCCCCTCACGTCACTAGTCACCCCTCACTGTCACTAGTCACCCCCACTGTCACAAGTCATCCCCCTCACTGTCACTAGTCACCCCCTCACTGTCACCAGTCACCCCCCCTCACTGTCACCAGTCACCCCCCCTCTCTGTCACTAGTCACCCTCTCCCTCACTCTGTCACTAGTCACCCTCTCCCTCACTCTGTCACTACTCACACCCTCCCTCACTCTGTCACTAGAGCGAGGGGATGACTGGTGACAGAGTGAGGGGATGACTGGTGACAGAGTGAGTTAGGGGGTGACTAGTGACAGAAGGAGGGATGGAGTAGTGACAGAGGGAGGTGGTGACTAATGACAGTCACCACCTCCCTCACTCTGTCACTAGTCACCCCTTCCCTCACTCTGTCACTAGTCACCCCCTCACTCTAGTGACAGTGAGGGAGGGTGTGACTAGTGACAGAGTGAGGGAGGGAAGTGGTGACTAGTTGACAGTGTTAGGGAGGGAAGGGGTGACTAGTGACAGAGTGAGGAAGGGGGTGACTAGTGACAGAGGGAGGGGTGACTAGGGACAGAGTGAGGGAGGTGGTGACTAGTGACTAGTGACAGTCACCACCTCCCTCACTCTGTCACTAGTCACCACCTCCCTCACTGTGTCACCCCCTCCCTCTCACTGGTCACCCACTCCCTCCCTCACTCTGTCACTAGTCACCCCTTCCTTCCCTCTGTCACTAGTCACCCCTTCCCTCACTCTGTCACCTGTCACCCCCTCACTCTGTCACCCCCTCACTCTGTCACCCCCTCACTCTGCCACCCCCCTCACTCTGTCACTAGTCACCCCCCTCACTCTGTCACTAGTCACCCCCCTCACTCTGTCAATAGTCACCCCCTCACTCTAGTGACAGAGAGAGGGAGGGGGTGACTAGTGACAGAGAGAGGGAGGGTGTGACTAGTGACAGAGAGAGGGAGGGGGTGACTAGTGACAGACAGAGAGAGGGAGGGGGTGACTAGTGACAGTGAGGGAGGGGGTGACTAGTGACAGAGTGAGGGAGGGTGTCACTAGTGACAGAGAGAGGGAGGGGGTCACTAGTGACAGAGAGAGGGAGGGGGTGACTAGTGACAGTCACCACCTCCTTCACTCTGTCACTAGTCACCCCCTCCCTCACTCTGTCACTGTGTCACCCCCTTCCTCACTCTGTCACTAGTCACCCTCTCTCTCACTCTGTCACTAGTCACCCCCTCCCTCACTCTGTCACTAGAGTGAGGGGGTGACTAGTGACAGAGTGAGGGGGTGACAGAGTGAGGGAAAGGGATGACTGGTGACAGAGTGAGGGAGGGGATGACTGGTGACAGAGTGAGGGAGGGGGTGACTAGTGACAGAAGAAGGGAGGGAGTAGTGACAGAAGGAGGGAGGGAGTAGTGACAGAGGGAGGTGGTGACTAGTAACAGTCACCACCTTCCTCACTCTGTCACTAGTCACCCCTTCCTTCCCTCACTCTGCCACTAGTCACCCCTTCCCTCACTCTGTCACTAGTAACCCCCTCACACTAGTGACAGAGTGAGGGAGTGACAGAGAGAGGGAAGGGGGTGACTAGTGACAGAGTGAGGGAGGGGGTGACTGTCACTAGTCACCCCATCCCTCTCTCTGTCACTAATCACTCCCTCCTAACTCTGTCACTGTGTCACCCCTCTGTCCTTAGTGACAGAGTGAGAGAGGGGGTGACTAGTGACAGAGTGAGGAAGGGGGTGACATAGTGAGGGAGGGGGTGACTAGTGACAGAGTGAGAGAGGGGGTGACTAGTGACAGAGAGAGGGAGGGGGTGACTAGTGACAGACTGAGGGAGGGGAGGGGGTGACTAGTGACAGTCACCACCTCCTTCACTCTGTCACTAGTCACCCCCTCCCTCACTCTGTCACTAGAGTGAGGGGGTGACTAGTGACAGAGTGAGGGGGTGACAGAGTGAGGGAAGGGGATGACTGGTGACAGAGTGAGGGAGGGGATGACATGTGACAGAGTGAGGGAGGGCGTGACTAGTGACAGAAGGAGGGAGGGAGTAGTGACAGTGAGGGAGGTGGTGACTAGTGACAGTCACCACCTCCCTCACTCTGTCACTAGTCACCCCTTCCTTCCCTCACTGTGCCACTAGTCACCCCTTCCTTCCCTCACTCTGTCACCCCTTCCCTCACTAGTCACCCCTTCCCTCACTCTGTCACTAGTCACCCCCTCACTCTAGTGACAGAGTGAGGGAGTGACAGGTGACAGAGTGAGTGACTAGTGACAGAGTGAGGGAAGGGGTGACTGTCACTAGTCACCCCATCCCTCTGTCACTAGTCACTCCCTCCTAACTCTGTCACTGTGTCACCTGCTCCCTCACTCTGTCACTAGTCACCCCTTCCCTTACTCTGTCACTAATCACCCCCCCTGTCCTTAGTGAGAGAGGGGGTGACTAGTGACAGAGAGAGGGAAGGGGTGACTGTCACTAGTCACCCCATCCCTCTGTCACTAGTCACTCCCTCCTAACTCTGTCACTGTGTCACCTGCTCCCTCACTCTGTCACTAGTCACCCCCTCCCTCACTCTATCACTAATCACCCTCTCTGTCCTTAGTGACAGAGTGAGAGAGGGGGTGACTAGTGACAGAGTGAGGAAGGGAGTGACATAGTGAGGGAGGGGGTGACTAGTGACATAGTGAGAGATGGGGTGACTAGTGACAGAGTGAGGGACGGGGTGACACAGTGACAGAGTGAGGGAGGGAGTGACTAGTGACAGAGTGAGGGAGGGAGTGACTAGTGACAGAGAGAGGGATGGGGTGACTAGTGACAGAGTGAGGAAGGGGGTGACTAGGGAGAGAGGGGGTGATTAGTGACAGAGTGAGGGAGGGGGTGACTAGTGACAGAGGGAGGGGTAACACAGTGACCGAGTAAGGGGGTGACTAGTGACAGAGTGAGGGAGCGGGTGACACAGTGACAGAGTTAGGGAGGGAGTAACTAGTGACAGAGAGAGGGATGGGGTGACTAGTGACAGTCACCCCCCCCTCACTCTGTCACCAGTCATCCCCTCACTCTGTCACTAGTCACCCCTTCCCTCCCTCACTCTGCCACTAGTCACCCATTCCCTCACTCTGTCACTAGTCTCCCATTCCCTCCCTCTGTCACTAGTCTCCCCCTCTCCTTCCCTCTGTCACTAGTCACCCACTCCCTCACTCTGTCACCAGTCACCCCCACTCACTGTGTCTCCCCCTCACTCTGCCACCACTCAACCCCTCCCTCACTCTGCCACCAGGTACCCCCTCACTCTGCCACCTGTCACCTTCTCACACACTCTGTCACCTGTCACATATGCATTCACACAGACACTATATACAAAAAAGCACATGTAGTCATCCAGACATGCACAAGTGCATTCACACAGACTCAAATACAAACATGCATTGATACACAGGTCTTCACAATACACACATCCAAAGGAATGCCGTATTATGAATTATATTTAACATTTATTAAAATGCACATATATTTGGCCTTCAAAGGGCCTGGGATCTAATTTTGCCTGGGGGCCCCAAAGGCTCTCAGTCCGCCCCTGCTAAAAAGGAACTGCGGCAGAGATCATTTAGTGTTGCTGCCTTCATTGAATTTTGATTTTTAAATCTTCTCTAAATCAGTAAAATAACCAGGAGTGGATTCTTGCAAGTCATTACTGTAAACCCACAAATGATGCACAAAATAATGTCCTTGGCAAATGATGTATTTATAAATCAAAGAAAAACTTACAAGTAAAAAGTGATGTATTTTTATTAATACATGCTATAGTGGCCATAGCCATTTACTGGTACTGATTAGTTCCACTGTCTCCAGTGTGATCTCCATAAATATTCTAGATATAAATGACTGGGTCAATGGTATCAATCTGACGCGCCATCGCCAACACACAGGGCAATGGGGGTGGGGGGAGCTGAGCACAATTACTGGCCAGTAATACAGATATATAGACCTGTGACAAGCTCCTCAAATCAAGTCTGAGAACCATAAGATACCGATTTTTTTTTTTATATGAAATCAGAGCAGAATCTGGTACAAAAGTTTATTGAAAACATCTGTGCATATGAATATATAACGGAATGTTGATCAAAAAGGAGACTTCATGATCTCTCCATCCGGGGCTGCCTGGGCTCTCTCTCTTGTGGTCAATCTGAGACCTGTACCTACCCCCCCTCTGGACCGTGGGGTTATCCCGGCCCCCACTGGCTTACTACCTGTGCCATTGCTGTGGCAGCACCAGACAAGCACCTTATGCAGCACACCTCAAGGAGATGGCGACTGTACTCACTACTGTAATCTCTGAGCCCGCGCAGCCTGAAGGGGAAATTGATAGCGCAGTGGATCGATTCCTGAAGAGGTTAGACGACCACTTTGAACACTTCAGGAAAGACCTGGAGGTACATGGGTCAATCTCAGCACCTCAAATCCAACCGGAGAACCGGATGGATGCAGACTGTGGGAGGAGTGAGCTCCCACCAAGCACTCTTTCCCCTACTCACCTTTATTCATCTACCAGCGAGTCCAGGGTGTGGAACACTACAGGGGGGATCCCAGGGCAGCGTCCACATGGACTAAGAGCGGTCGGTAAGCGGCATGCCAACTCAGCCCGCTATTCCTCCCGTGTAGAGGTGGACTTGGACTTTTACCCTAGGGTCAGGGGAACAAAGATTCAGGTCTATGACCCAGCATGGCACACGAGAGACTCCCGAGTCCCCACATCACGCTTGGGGAATCACAAGGACCCCATGCTTACCTGCCATGTGCTTCCCCGTCTTGGGCATAGGCTGACGGTCTGCTTACATTACAGGGCAGTTCCTCACCGTATATTCTGGTACTTAGCCGCATGTGGTTATAGCTATCACGTTCCATTTAGCCCCCATGACCATTATCAGCTTGCCAAGCAGCAAACCTTCCACATCAGTTACCTCTGTTTGTTGTACCTGCCATTTTGCAATCGTACATAGCTAGACACAGCCACACTACACTGACACATAGTCCAATGGCTTTCAACTTCACGGTCTAGTCCAATTAACGTTTGCCTAAAGATATCTAGCCTAGACGTGCCTGACATATTTTGTGTCGCACTTTTAAAATAAGCTTTTACCTCTGTTCCTGGTTTTGAAGATACAGCTGCAGCAGATGTTGGCTTTATGGCAATACACTGTTAATCAAAGACATTTTTGGTAAATTTTCTGACACAAAAGTAAGAATAAAGGAGCAAACATATTCTAGAATGCTAAATTTACAAGTCTAGAACACAAACAGACTAAAAAAAATGTATACAATCTAAATGCTTCTACACACAGCAATATTTCTAAATCGCACATTGGGAGAGATTTACGAAATGTCAAACACATAAATGTCTCAAAGTGTGAAAAGGAAGGTAAAAACCAAGGAAAACTACAATGGACCTGCTCATGAGTATATGGATGGTCCTACAATATAACCTTGCAGTCCTACAGTAACAATTCCAGTGTCATCATATGAGGGGAACAGACAACACATCACATGATATTTGAATAAAGCAAAAAGTGTGATTATACCTCCTCTAACTTTGGTTTCTTTCCTTCTGGAGGAGCTGGGCAGCTGACAAAATCAGACGACAGGGCATCAAGAAGTTCGTCATCGCCAAAGCTCTTAGCACACAAAATAAACACAACGAATATCAACAAACAGTCACACACAGAGCACATGCAGGTCACATAAGATAGCGCATGCAAACATCAGATAGTAGAGCCACAAACTGAGCAGGAGATAGCTCGGTAGGCTACAGGAAAAAAATTATTTAACTGAACAGCAAGGAAGGCAGCAATTGTTCAACTTATGAACCAAAACAAAATCTAGAATTTGTGCTACAGGTCTGTTCCACCATAATTTAAAGGGACACTAAAAGGCACCAGGGCCGAACTGAGAAAAACATTTGGTCTAGGCACATGCAATACATGTCTGTATTGCATGTGCAGTACACAAACAGCTTGCAGGAAAATAACATAACATTTCTCTTTTAAAGTTTCACAAAACATCACTGAAATGTGTCTTATAGGAGCATAACATGGTTACAATGACTGTATGGAAAATAAAACAGCACGTATACAAATATATTAATTTTGATACACATCTGATCAATTGGAGGTGTGCAATGGCTGCAAAAGGGTGTTCTTTTAACAGAGTCTGTCTTACAATTTCTTAATGTTTCTGCACGGACCTCCTTTAACTAAAATCCATGCACATACCCTATGC